CGCACACTGGCGAAAAACTGTACGCATGCGATATATGCGACAAGTCGTTCTCTGTAAATAAAAGTTTGACTGCACATCGACGCACACACTCTGCCGAGAAACCGTAAGCATGGGATGTATGTGAAATGTCTTTCTCTGTAAGTGGCTTTTTGACGGTTCACAAGAGGACACACCCGAAACACTGATCCAATTGATCAAAGATGTATGATCCAAAGAACATATTTAAACATGATTAATCATAATCACATATTATTATTGTAGCATTGTTGAAGAATACTACAGAATACTGTAATAATTGTAATAATAATACACTATCCTGTCTGAGGACCGAAGGGACGATGGACAAACTTTCTCCTCCACTGACTTCCTCCTTCCCGCTGCACTTATCCGTTTTTTTTTTTCAAATATTAAAACATACCTACATTTTTCTACTTTTATTATTACGGTAATATAAGTTCAAATCCTTATAATAATCATGAAGACATTATTTTGCAAAATAAAATGGGACAAAAATTATTTCATTTGATAACCTTTATTATATTGTTAATTTATTCAGAAATGTCGTTATATTACCTATATTCATCTGGTAAATTTGGTTCAGTTTCTAAAATCTAATAAATGCATTTCTTTCATAGTTATAATGGCATATATATATAGAAGGTATTTAAGATAAATAATATTTGAAACACATTTACGTACATCAACCCACAGACACTGGCGAAAAACTATACGTCCATGCGTAAAGTATGTAAGTTATGTAAGTACGTAAGTATGTAAGTAAAACTATGCGTCAAGTCGTTCTCTGTGAGTAACAATTTGACGGTTCACAAGAGGACACACACGAAACACTGATCCGATTGATCAAACATGTATGATCCAAGGGACGTATTTAAACATGATAAATCATAATAACATATTATTATTGTAGCACTGTTAAAGTGTTATTTCTGTCTTGTATTTTTTTCTTAAAACTAATTTGGTGATCTATCATATCAGAAATAAATACTAAATTAAGTATGGTTTTCAATGTTTTAAAAACAAAAAGTGGTTTTTCATTTTCCATTTAAAATAGTATTTAATTTAAACATTGTCTATTTTTTACATCAAAATTATTTGGTAGCTTACACCACCAAGGAACACCTTATATGAACGAGTCTATGTGTTTTAATAAATATACTGTTGTTGTTGTTGTTGTTATGTAAATATTATTGTTTCAAAAATTATCATTAAACATAAATTCGTGCTCATTAATATTATTATGCATTAGCAATATTATGTTGATATTAGTTTAAAATATATATTTTCTATAGGTAGTGGGACAATAGGCTCCTGGTAAATTGTTACAATAGCAGTTGAAAAATATTGAAAATACATAGCCACATTTTTTTTTATAAGTATTTAAAATTCAAATATAGATAAAATCATTTAATAATATAAAGAATTTATAACGCCGTTTATATCTAATTTAGAAGTTCGCTTATAACTGTAATAACTAGTAAGTATAGCTATTGATTAGTAATTATCCAAAGATTATATGGCCAAGGGGGTACGTTACACACTTAATGAATCCATCTGGATACGCCCTATAATATGGTTGACAATAGCTGTTCATCTAATTAAAAATTTAATTTAATTTAATTTAATGAATATTTTTAAAGTAGTTATGAGTTGAAGTATGTACCCACACAGCATTTGGGTAATGATAATATTTTGTAAATATTTTCAAATGGTTTTATTATGAACATTTTTATAAAAATATTTTTTAGATGTTTTAAAAAAGTTTCTATGAAAATATTTTTGGAATAATCATAATAGAACTTTTTATAATTATTATTCAGTAAATATTTTATCAATTATGTTAAAATATATTTTTTAAATATACTGCAATAGTGGAGAACCAAATATTTTCAGGATAATTATAATAGAACTTTTTATAATTATTATTAAGTAAATATTATATCAATTATGTTAAAATATATTTTTTAAATATACTACAATAGGTGAGAACCAAATATTTTCAGGATAATTATAATAGAACTTTTTGTAATTATTATTAAGTAAATATTACATCAATTATGTTAAAATATATTTTTTTAATGCACTGTAATAGTCGCAAACAAAATATTTTCTGGACAATAATAATAGAACTTCAAATAGATATTTGTTTACAAATATTTTATAATACCTACCTATATGTCCTATTTATATAATATAAGACCTTTAAAAAAATTAAGGTTGAAATAAAACTACTAATATAATATAGAACTTTGGTATACTATAATATACAATATACAGAAGTAGTATAATATAGTTGTCCCGCGAAAAACAGTTTTACTTTTTGCAATGTAAATGTTGTACATATTTTGATAGACGTAAACAACATGTGGGTGTATGCTGTATAGTGTCCTGTATTAAGAATTAAGATTATTGTTATGCAATTATTATGCTTAAAAATAAAATTTAAAACATTACACCAAACAAAAACCAACTACTGGAAAATGAAGTATAATTAAACCTATAATAATATTATACAAAATATTACCGTAATACAAATATCATTGACACCGTGGCTTACGCTATAGGTACCGTCTATCATACGCATATTATATCTTTAATCGTGATCATACGTGAATTGTGGGGCGATAATCCAAAACTACTATTGCCAAAATTGAAGAAATTGAGTTATATATTGATTCTTATAGAAATTAAGGCAGGGAATCGAATAGTGCAATCAAATTGTGACAAAACGTACTATTTCCCTTGTTAAAATCAATCTGAAACTCATAAATGACGCAAAACGCACTATTTCCAAAGCCAAAATTTGTCTAAATGCACTATTTCCAAAATTACGTCAAAACGTAGTATTGTTCATGTTAAATAGTTTGTTTATTGACAAATTGACGCAAAACGTACCAATTCCTCGAATGGTACAAAACGTACTATTTCCAAAGTAGGCCAAAATGTACTATTTCCCATAGTATGAAGATAGGGAATATAATTGAATTAAATACATAACGTACTATTTCCAAAATCGTGGAAAAATAGAAAATCGTGATTTCTCAAAAAAGTGTAAAATGGAAATAGTACGTTTTGGATTGTCGCCCCACAATTATATTACATAATAATATATATTATTATATATTTATATATTACAGCAGGAAATCTTATAAAACAACACTATATCGTACGACGAATAAATTATGGTATTAAAATAGTTTAGTTAGCTTATGCCATTCCTGGAATTTCTTCATTGTAGATAAGCTATCGTCGATTTATAATAATTTTGTATTTCTTATTGGCCTATATTGGGGCTATAAAAAGCCACAAGATAGTAATTTATATTTGGAAAAGTTTTAAAAAGAACTTTTAGAAAGTGGTATTACAATTAATAATATACATAAGACAGTTACAATCGATGCTTTTTGTCTAGATGCACCAGCTAGGTCTTTTGTGTTAAAAACTAAAGGCCATACGGGATATCATTCATGTAGTCGTTGTTTACATGAAGGTGAATATTTAAATAAACGATCATGTTTTCCCTATATTCCAACTGGATCTATTATTACTATTATATCTATTACTCGTACCCATAATGATTACCAAACAAAAAAACATGAAGAACATCACACAAGTGATTTAGTATCTATACTAATAGATTTACCAAATATTGACATAGTGAAATCTTTTGTACTTGATTATATGCATCTTACATGCCTTGGTGTTACAAAGAAAATTATACTTTTATGGATTGACAATGGACCATTAAAAGTTAGAATTCCTAGTTCTAAAACTAAAATATTATCCACGTCCCTTTTATTACTTGCACCATGTTTGACATCTGAATTTTCTTGAAAACCAAGAGGCGTAAATGAAATTAGTAGATGGAAGGCTACTGAACTTAGACAATTTTTATTGTATACAGGGCCAATAGTTCTGAAAACAATTTTAAATGAAGATTGCTATAAGCATTTTATGTCTTTTAATATTGCGATGTTAATACTACTGAGTCCAGACAAAGGAGATTTTATTGATTATGCAGAACAACTTTTGAATCATTTTGTTCAATACTTTGGAACCATTTATGAACCATACTTAATATCTTACAATGTACATGGGCTTTTGCATTTAGTAGATGATTACAAAAATTTTGGCCCACTAGATAATATAAGTTGTTTTCCATTTGAAAACTTTATGAAATATTTTTAAAAAAAAGTAAGAAAACAAGAAAAACCATTACAACAGGTTGTGAAACGATACCATGAAGAAGCAATTAATAAACAAATTAAAAAATTAAAAATTGAAATAAATTTAAAGCATCAGCATTCAAACGGGCCATTATTAAATTACCTTACTGACCCACAATACCGGACAATTTATCTAAACAGATTTGTTATTAAAACAAAAAGAGAATCAGATTCTTATATATTGACAAAAGATGACAATGTTGTACAAGTAAACAACATTGCAACTGAAAGAAATACTAATGACACGGTACTGATCGGGAAAATTTTCAAAGTTAAAAAACCATTTTTTGAACAACCAATTAATTCATCAATGTTCCATATATATATTGTAAGTGAATTGGATGATGTCTATGCATTTTGGTATCTAATAGATGTCAAGAAAAAAATGATTTTATTTAAACACAAAAACAATAACATTGCAATGCCTGTAGTTCATTCATGTGAATTATAGTTTTTATTTTAAGATAATAGGTGACTATTGAATATTACTATACCTAACTAATATAAATATGATTGTGTATATGTTTCACTTTCTTAATTTTAATTTTTGTCAATTTTATATTATGATAGCAGCATGAAATAATAGTAATTGTACCTGTTTGAATATATATACTATATTGACATATTGTTTAAAAATATTAACAGTATTTCTCATCAATATTAATATTTCTTCTTAAATCTATATTTTTCTTGTAAAGTAAAATATTTCTTTATTTAGTTGTTAATTATACTTAAAATAATTTATTTTTAGTAATCATGTATATAGTAGTTGATTTCCAAAACGATAATTCTGTGGAGGCAGTACCTAACACTTGGTATAGTAATGGATCTTGTGTGTGGTCCAAAAAAGGTCAAAATATTAATAAACTTATTGAACAAAATATAAAACCTGAAGAGTTTCGACATGAAATACTAAAAGCTAAGAAAATGGGTGAAAAAACATGTAAGTATCAGTGTACTTACTTAAATATTCAACAAAAAGGCACTTACCTAACATTATTTGTATGTTATTTTATTTACTTAATTTCAGATTCTCTAAGCGAAGCTAAATTAAAAGCAAATAAAGCAACAATTACATCGGAGTTATCATCGGTTGATGAAGACGTTTATTATAAAGAGCAAAGTAAAAAAAATAAATCATCATTAAACCTCAAAAATAAAAATATTTACAAAAGTCCACCCAATTACAAAAAAACAATGATGTTGATAATTTGCATGGTGTTAAAAGTATGTATAAATTATAAATATGTTTTGTTAGTATAATTGTAATTTGTAAGATGGTCAATTCAATTTGTAATAGTTGATGAGGGGTCTTAAATTTTAAAGTTGTTAGGACATAATTTGATTTTGTTTTCTTCATATAAATTAATAAATTATATAGTATTTTGGGATAATAAAGTAAAAAGTATAAGGAAATACAAAATAGTGATAAACTGACTGCCCTATATAAAAGAGACGTTATATTTTTAAATTGTATAACTAACATGTCTGATTGCTATGTTTACTATTTTAGATTCTGATGAAAATGAAAATGATAATATGTTGCCAGTCATATCTTCAAAAAAAAATAATATGTTACAAACTAATACCAATAAAAAATCTATGATGCCGTCTACCTCTCATGAATTTAGTATGTATATTTATCTATTATATTTTATTTTTATATTATAGAGGTGTTTGATTTATAATTAAACATATGCTATCCCATAAAAGGTCCATGTCCCCGGCACCCCCCATTGCGATTTTTGGGTCCAAACCCGGGGCGATCGTTTGTGCTTCGTTAGTGCACGTTAGTGCTTTTTATCTCGTCGTTAGTGCTTTATCCATTCCAAAGTTATTCGCATTTCGTACAGGGGGGTGCCGGGGACATGCCTGCACCCCCCATTTCGAATTTCGGGCCCAAACCCAGGGCGATCGTTTGTGCTTCGTTAGTGCACGTTAGTGCTTTTTATCCCGTCGTTAGTGCTTTATCCGATCCAAAGTTATTCGCATTTCGTACAGGGGGGTGCTGGAGACATGCCTGCACCCCCCATTTCGAATTTCGGGCCCAAACAAATTTCATTCGTTTGTGCTTCGATAGTGCACGTTAGTGCTTCTCATCCCGTCGTTAGTGCTTTATCCGTTCCAAAGTTATTCGCATTTCGTACAGGGGGGTGCTGGGGACATGCCTGCACCCCCCATTTCGAATTTCGGGCCCAAACAAATTTCATTCGTTTGTGCTTCGTTAGTGCACGTTAGTGCTTCTTATCCCGTCGTTAGTGCTCCATCCCTTAAATTGTATTTGAATTTCCTACAGGGGGTTCTAAGGACATGCTAATTTAGATTTCGAATTTTGGGTCCAAAAATCCTTTATTCGTTTATGCTTCGTTAGTCCTTCAGTGTGTTATTCATCCGGTAGTTAGTGCTCTACTCCTTCAAAAGTTATTGGCATATCGTACGGGGGGGGGGGGGTACTAGTGACGTACTAATTCGAGTCCAGTCCCCAAAGTTTTGTCTGAAACTCTTCAACATATTGAGGTTAAAATGATCCTTTGATGCATTGCAGTTAAATATCATAGTTTTGGGATTAAATTACTTAAATCTGGGTTTTATATATTATGTAAAAAAGAATGTTATTAAAATTTCATATTTATGCTAATTTCTGCCAAAAGCTTTAATAGATATAACTAAATAACTAATAAGTATATAACTTTAATTTCTCCATGCGTATATGATTTACCGATATTTAAAAATATCGTAGACAGCTGATCGATAAAACTGAATATCTAATTTTAAAAATTCTCAAAAAACTACGTAAGTACCGGTACCTATCTATATGTACCTATAATATACCTATACCCCTTACCAAAACACTACCTCCTACGAATTTTATAATTCTTTTGTTGCAATTATTTAATAACTATAGGTATAATGTGTATGATTTATGTATGATAGGTGTTGATGTATGCTTGTTTGAAAAAATATGATTTTAAAATAAAATCGTTCGCGTTATTTGTGAATATTTAAAAGTTATTTGTTAGGTATTTAACCAATAATCAATATAGATCTACGATTCTTCGACCTAATACTATAAATGTTATTGCGATACAGGACCAAGATAGGTAACTTTTATCCATTCTATGAGTTCTAGAACGCCAACCCCTGGATTATTCTAACATTAGGTGAAATAATATTAATGATACCATTGAGTATAATATATTTATATATATTGTTGTACAATATAGGTACGCATACTCAATGATGATAGGTATAATGGTATAAATATTTTTTTTTAAGTCCGGGAACAAATTTAATATTTTTTACGTAACTACCTATTTAGTGTATGATAATATATTATATATCTACCCAAAATATTTATGTTTGCCTATAACAACTATCTATACCTACATCATTGCAGTTAATGATTATAAATTAGATAGGGAGGTATAGATATATAAAGTATAAAACCTGTATAAAAATCGATTTAAGAAATAATAATCGTGATTTAAAATAGCTAAAAAAACATTTGTATGTTCACAGTCTATTTTTTTTCACCACGGTAATTTCACAACGTTCAAGGCAGGATGTCCCGCTTGAACACAATTATTTTACCGCGGTGAAAATCACGGGGAGATTTCACACTCGTTGTCCACCTATTCACGCCTCACACAAAAATATTTACCGTATAGCATTTTACAGGGAGATTTCACAAATTTTGAATAATTTAAGTAAAAAAACTTGTGTAAATATATTTAAGAATTCGTTTATATCAATAAAAAAATCTATTATTACATAATTTGTGTTCTGTACTTTACATAATTATTTCATTTTAATAATAAGGTTTGTTGGGGAAAAAACCATTTAGTGTGTACACGGTAAATATTTTTGAGTAAGCGGCAAAACCGATTTTGAGTGTGTAAACTCCCTGTAACTTTAAAATACGGTAAATATTTTTCTGAAACGAAGAATTCGTGGACAAAAATTGTGAAATCTCCCTTTAAAATGCTATACGGTAAATATTTTTATCTGAGTCGCGAATAGGTGGACAACGAGTGTGAAATCTCCCCGTACAATGCTATACGGTAAATATTTTTGTGTGAGGCGTGAATAGGTGGACAACGGAGTGTGAAATCTCCCCGTGATTTTCACCGCGGTAAAATAATTGTGTTCAACCGGGACATCCTGCATTGAACGTTGTGAAATTACCGTGGTGAAAAAAAAATAGACTGTGAACATACAAATGTTTTTTTAGCTATTTTAAATCACGATTATTATTTCTTAAATCGATTTTTATACAGGTTTTATACTTAATACATCTATACCTTCTTATCTAATTTATAATCATTAACTGCAATGATGTAGGTATAGGTAGTTGTTATAGGCAAACATAAATATTTTGGGTAGATATATATATTGTCGTATACGCCACGCAAAGGCTTGACGTATATAACAGATATATTTCGGTTTCCGATTCTCTAACCGTCGAACGAGTAAATTATCGACACCTGCTGTATGAGTTTAATTTAATTTCTCCTTTTGGTGACCACGATAACGAGTACTGCGCAAAAGGATAATTAAATAAAAGTCCAGTAGGATTTACACTATACAACTCAAAGGTTATTTTACTCCCGAACAACTGACCACGATAACGAGTACTGGATATTCGAGGGTGAGGTATCTTTTACCTAGACAAAGTCTTACTCTTTCTCGACTGACCACGATAACGAGTACTGGACGAGAAAGTAAGTACCACAGTGTCTTACTACCTGTTTTTAAAAGTGTTATCACCACAACGTCTCTGTATCAACTCGTAAGATAAAATATTCTAAAAAAAGGCGTAAAGAAAAACAGTGACACTTGGTTTTTAAAAAAAAGAATTAAATATAATAAAATATATCAAAAACAAATAATAAAACGAAACGTAAAAATACTGCAGCTCGTTGGCTACTACAATAATCGAAACAAACAAAACAACAGCCCCGCTCCCGTCGCAGACGTCGCCTAAGTAGTCGTGGCAATTTTGCTGACTCGGTTTGATTGACTTTCTGCTTCGTATGTTATTTTAATATTTTATAATTTCGTTATATATACAACAATATTATCATACACTAAATAGGTAGGTACGTAAAAAATATTAAATTTTCTCCCGGACTTAAAAAAAAATATATCTATACCCTTATACCTATCATCATTGTCAGTGCCGGCGCTGGGTATTGCAGGGCCCTGGACATAGGTAATAGAGGGCAAAATTCTAGCTTTTTTTAAATTAATGTTATTTTTATTTGAATTTTAAACATTAAAAATAATAATATCAGATTATTCATATCCCTTTTTTTTTTTTATTAAAATGTATTAACAAAAAATTATTTACAAATAATAAAATAATATATATGTGTTGAAAATTATAATTTAATAAATTCGTGGGGGACTTATTATTTTATTAATTTATATTTATTTTAATAATCACAAAACATCAATTAAAAATAAATAAAATCATCAAAATGTTTGAATGATATAATAAATTGTTTAATATCTAAGTACGCGGTGGTAGACAATAAAATATGTTAAAACTAATCCTGATACACTAGATACGCAAGCAGTAGGTAAATATTATTATTTAATACTGCTATACTGTATCTAAACTGAATTGTAATAATAATTTCATAAAATGAAAACTTACTTTTATGATATTATGCAGAAATTGTTGAAAAAATACTCTAAGGGGAAAAGCGGACTGCAGTCAAATACTCAAATGTCGAACATATAATACTAGATAATCAAATAAATATTTTAAGAATATAGCTTTTGCCGCTTCTATAATACGGTACGACAATACGCGGAAAGCTTTTCCAAACAAAGAACAGAAAAACAATAACTATAAAGATAATAAATATTTATAATTATAATTATGGTTAGGTTACTCATTACTCTTACAGTCCTCGAGTATCGTCAAAATATTACTCCTTCGTCGTATCGATAACGATTTACTTTGTACTATGGCTAAATTTAGATATCATTTTCCAAATAATTAATGATAGAAATAATATTAATATTAATATATTATACATGTGCAGTATAGTACAACAAATGTATAGATTTATAATTTGTTAATATAAAATGTCAATGTGTTTCACGGTATTAAGATGATATTAAAAATCGCGGGGCTCGTTAGAAACTAGAAAGCGTGGGGCACTGAACATATGTCCCATTTGTCCTCCCATAGAGCCGGCACTTATCATTGAGTATACGTACCTATATTGTACAACAACATGTTATCATTAATATTATTTTTCAAGACAAAACTTTTGGGACTGGACTCGAATTAGTACGTCACTAGTACCCCCCCCCCCGTACGATATGCCAATAACTTTTGAAGGAGTAGAGCACTAACTACCGGATGAATAACACACTGAAGGACTAACGAAGCATAAACGAATAAAAGATTTTTGGACCCAAAATTCGAAATCTAAATTAGCATGTCCTTAGAACCCCCTGTAGGAAATTCAAATGCAATTTAAGGGATGGAGCACTAACGACGGGATAAGAAGCACTAACGTGCACTAACGAAGCACAAACGAATGAAATTTGTTTGGGCCCGAAATTCGAAATGGGGGGTGCAGGCATGTCCCCAGCACCCCCCTGTACGAAATGCGAATAACTTTGGAACGGATAAAGCACTAACGACGGGATGAGAAGCACTAACGTGCACTAACGAAGCACAAACGAATGAAATTTGTTTGGGCCCGAAATTCGAAATGGGGGGTGCAGGCATGTCTCCAGCACCCCCCTGTACGAAATGCGAATAACTTTGGATCGGATAAAGCACTAACGACGGGATAAAAAGCACTAACGTGCACTAACGAAGCACAAACGATCGCCCTGGGTTTGGGCCCGAAATTCGAAATGGGGGGTGCAGGCATGTCCCCGGCACCCCCCTGTACGAAATGCGAATAACTTTGGAATGGATAAAGCACTAACGACGGGATAAAAAGCACTAACGTGCACTAACGAAGCACAAACGATCGCCCCGGGTTTGGACCCAAAAATCGCAATGGGGGGTGCCGGGGACATGGACCTTCCCATAAAGCTATTATAAAAAAAAGTTTTAAATTTTTACAGGTGTCGAAAAATCTCCTCGTAAATGGTTGGTTAGGAAAATCTCCAGTACAGACGATATGGAAGAAAATTATAGAAGTCCTATTCAAAAGGCATGGATCATAACTCCGTCTTCAATCAAAGAACTAGTACTAGATGAAGAATTGAAAACTGTATCTTGTAAAAAAAAGTTAAATTTTCATTCAGAACCAAAAGAATTCGATTTAGAGTCAACCGGTATACATTTAATTTTTAGTTTTAATTATTAAACTCAATAATTTTAGTTATATCATTATATATTATATTTGTTTTAGATAAGATGAACAAAATATACCAAATTGTACTATCTTTAAAATATGATATAAAAGAACTCCTATCAAAGGTTGATGGGTTGGAAAATCAAGGCAAATATGATGAATTTGAATTGGGCAACCAATCATCTGATGATGCAGTTTCATGGAATTTCCCTATCACTACTGTAAATTAAGTTTCATTATTTGAAAAAAAACTACAGGATAAAACATTTCACTTCAAAATAGTAAATATTTTGTTTAATTTATATTATTATCAAACACAGTATATTATGTATATATACTTCCCAATTACTATATTATAATATATATAGAGTTATTATTTTTATATATGATTCCATAAATACATAAATAAAATTGATTACAGGTAAAGAATCTTAGTATGTTGGTCCGCAGTTCTTTGTCTGAAACAGTGCGCCATATTTTATCAAGAATGTTCGTTAATAGTGTCTTATCGCAATATTCATTTGTTGGCCAAAAAAAGAAATTGGCATTTTCTTCCTTAAATGCCTGTTCAGTTATATTTGGTAAGCATAAAAACATTAATGCCTGACAGGCTGTATATCAAATTAATTAATTTAATGGGCCACAAAAACATGTTTAAGGGTCCATTATTGGTTCACTATTGATTCAATAAATAAAATTAGTGATTGTTCATGCAACCTAGCATTATTTTATAATTACTGTAGCTTACAAAATTTTTCCTCAACCAATTCTATATTGGTGACCTCCCAAGAACAAGTCATAATTATATTTATATATAATATTATCTCAGTAAACTATTATATATGTGTTTTTATATATATAGTTTATATTGTCAATATGTATAACACATATTAATGGTGTATTATAACTGTTACAGATGCAATAAGAAACATCAAGCAATTTAAAGATGTCCCATCTTTAAATATAGAAAAACCACTCAAAGATTATTTAGCAGGAGCTAAGTTCAGGGATTTAAAAAGAAAAAATAAAGAAGATAACAATGCTATTTTGATTTAAATTTTTACATGATTTTTTATTAACAATAAGTTACAGTTAATAAAATCTCATTGGCTGTATGATATTATAATATTATGTTTAATTGACAAATTGTTTTTCTCTTTGAATAATAACAATAGTGTATTATATTGTTAAATAAATAAATAAAAATTTATAAAACATATTAATATCATTAAAATTGTATTATTTTTAATTCATTTCACTTAAAAGTACCTATTCAACAACTATAATTATAATAATTCAAATATTTCATAAATATAAGAAAATATTTTCAGTGAAATTATATAATTTCTAAAATATTTGTTGATCATTGCTAAAGAGTGGCAAAAATAATGAGAAAATATTCCATTAATATTTAGTTTTGAAGAAGTTCACATTTTCGAAATATTACAATCATACATTATAAAAATATTGTAAAAAAATATTTTGAAAACGTAAACTTCTTGGCCAAAAAATGTTAAAAAAATATTTTCTAATTATTTGCACAACTTTTTAACAGCTATTAAAAAATATTTTGACAACTACATAATTTTCCTGAAAATATTATTTTCATATCCAGAAAACATTATAATGCTGTGTGGGTGGCATTGTTTTGGATTAAACAAATAGCATAGGTAGTTATTTGAGAAATAAAAAATTGTATTTATGGATTTAATGCATTGGTATTTATTTTTATGGTTCATTATTATTTTTATTGTGAATTTACGAATTTGATTTTAACAAAAAAATAACTAAACACTAAAACACCTACTAGGAATTGAACAATAATTATTGTATTATGACAAAGTAAAATTCTGAACTATATTCAGTTCTACGTATACACAGAATATAAAAAAATCCACATACACGGAATTCGTAATAATTTAATTTTAAATTTACATCATAGAACATTTAATATGTAAACCATATTTTAGTAATGTTAACACTAAATCATAATGGTCAACATATTTAAATAATTAAAAGACGGGTATCCCTGCAACACCCACAAAAAATTACTCATGTACTTCCAAGAAATTTATACCTAGTACCTATAATGATTTAAATAATTGAAAACAAGTAACGTAAATATGTATGATACAATTTTGCTCACTAACCAGAACTACTACAATAACGTGCGTTTAAAAATTATTTTTACTTTATAATAACGTGCAACACCAACAATAAAACGTATTTGACTTTTATGAGATAAAATATGAAAATAATATTATTTTATCTTATAAACAATTTGTTTTTTTTTCATACAAGCAACTGTATTTATAGAAATTTGTAAACAATAATTTAATGTTATATAGTTGTAACGTCACAGAATTTTAGGCCTTACTTAATATTATTATAGTTCCCCTGAGCATATTATTTTTCATTATTATTATTTCTTATGATTACATTATGTCATTATGATATTATTATATTTATCGCGCGCCAATGCATAAATGACCACAATTTTACATAACACCTGACCCCGGCCCCCACAACCCGCAGTGTCCGCCCGCCAACAGGCCGCTGCCGTTGCCGGTCGTCACCGCCGGTCGCAGCTGTCGCGTCCGTCGATACGCACCGACAAAGCAGTCTGTTTTCCCAATTATTATTGTAAACGTCCCTATAATGCGACACTGACCTTCCCCACCACGTCAACATCAACGGCCACGACCAGTGGCAAGACAACATCAGCCGTCTTTACACACATTTTCCGAGACCGCTGAACGAACCAGACGTTTCGACTTTCGGTACCGTGACGCATCCCGAGTTTTCTACGACGACCACAACCGCGTGTCGACCACCATCACTTCGCGTGTGAATCTCATCTTATTGTTTTAATCGACGGGAACCAACCGCCATGATGGGCTAAGTACCGCACACGGGCCCGATGATGGGCAAAGCTGCCAGTCAACCTCCGTGTCGCCGTCACCATCCGAGGCGGTTTGATCGACGACAAGATGGGCCATGCCGGCCGCGTGTGTGCCGGTGGTATTAACCAGCCCATCCAGTTCCTCGGTCAACAACACATCTCAAGCTCAACGTCGTCAGAGTAATACCTCCAAAATTTCCCCCCCTTCTTTTTTTATTTTTTGTCACTTAAAAGCACGATCCTTGTGAAATGTGCGTTTCAGAACGTCCAGGTGTGGTTGCCATTGGGGCCTAGCGGGTAACCTCCTACGCGTTCACATACAGCTGGCGTAAAAAACCAGCTGTCCCTGTGCGCGTTTAAGTAGGGGGCCCCGGACCACACTTACAGACGTTCGAACTTTCATTTCCCCCCCAAATCATTTAAACTGCCCCGGTAACCCTGTGGAGACCACCACGAGTAATGTGATGTGTCGATCCCCGTGGGCCGAGCGTTGTTTTTTTTGTTTCCCATGTGCCCTTTTATATTTTATACCTACTTGCCATGTGCCATGCTATATATTTTATTTTTGTTAAACTGAAAAATGTCAAAACCTTATTTAAATTATCTACAATCAAAAAACCTGTAAAATACATCCACGTGATTACCCTAATATTGCTCTTATTATTTATTTTCATTAACTTATTTATTTTTTTTCTCTCTCTCTCTCCCCACATAAATCCTCGGCATTCAGCTTGCCGTTGCGTGTATCAAAGCCTGTGAGCTCCACCGACTTGACCCTCGGGTCTCACGCGGTGCGGCTCACAGGTCATGAGGAAAGTGTTCCCCTTTCGTCATGGGTGGTTTTGGTGGCCTTAAAAAGTCACTAACTCTCACATACTATAAAAAAATACAATTTAAATTTGATATTTTTCCTAAAATTGCAATATATAAGTATATAAATTTAAAATAATATTTGAAAAATTAAATAAATAAATAATAATAAATACAATAAATAATGATTAAATTTGGTACTTTAAATTATAGGCAACACCCCTTAGGTATTCTAGTCTGTCCCTATTTTTGTAGTCATTAACTAAATCTTTAAGTGTATCCCTTTTGCGTTTTTTGGATGGTTCGACAGTGCCCGCTATGTACTGATTTATTTTCATTTCATTTAAGCTCTGCTCCTTTTGAATTCCTTCAATAAATTTCCATATTGTTGGATGACATGAACTCAATAAGTTATTAAAGCCTCTATGCCATCCTTCAACATAATTATTTGTTCTGGGTAAACCAGATATAGTAGACCTAAAGCAGTTCCACAGTGAAATAGGGAATCTGGGAAACCTTTTACAATTTCGTCGTTTTTTAAGTTAAGGCGCGATTTACATAGTTCTTCAGTACATCTCCAATACATGGTATTTTTATATTTTTTGTCAAACCTATATAAATAACCATTAAATTTAAGTAAATTTTTGTTTTTTTGACTTTTAATGTACTCCATTGCGAAAATGTTACGAGTTAATAACTGTATGAATATGGCAACGGTGAACGGACGACTCGGTAATGCGGACTGGTGTGACTGGCGATTTGTACAAAGTACAAAATGACATTGATTATCTAGGTATCATTATTACTATTATTTACTATGACAAAACTTGACAGTTGTTAGGTTCAACCTTGGCTTATCTTTATTAAGTGATCCAAGACGCAAGATTACAAAATTACATTATTGATTATCTATATTACTTATTATATTATAAAGGTATACGCCATACGGTATACCCACTAACGAAAATAATTTTCGATATTATTGTTTTCGCTGTTAAAACCTTTCGCGATTTTTATTTTCACTGTTTTTTTTTTTCGTGATTTTGACTTTCGCGATTTTTTTTTCGCGATTTTCACATAGAGACCCCTAAAAGAAACGATTCAAATATTTTAGATCAACTGATAATATTCCTCCACAGTAAGCGTGACGTCTCACCAGCTTACTGAGAGGTACTTTTTAAAAATCTCATACTAATTCATAAAAATATAATATGGGAGTGCGAAATCAAATATAATTGAGGGGTAAAATCTCACTAGCTCCCTTCCTTCGTTATATTTATAGTCATTAAATTACCAGTAGAAAAGAAATGGTGGGGTATTGTTGGTCATATACACATGGCGTATAGGTATACTAATGAATAAAAAACATTATATTCTCATATAAAGTGAGGTACTGGGATGATGTGTTGTTCACTTAGATGTTAATTTACATGCTAAGAGGACATTTTGATAAAAAAGTTACCATCAAGATCCTCTTTTTTTGAGTTGATTATTTTTTGTTATTGAATAATCAGATTAATAAAGTAATGAAATATATATAAGGTTTTGAATTGGTTGTTTTAATTAATTAACTCTGACATTCCACTAATATTTTATAAGCACCGACTTGGTCTATCAACGTGATATTGTACATGCAAATTTTATAGAAAATATTTTTCAATAATAATAATAATTACAAATAAGACAAATAAAAGTCGTTGTTAAAAACTAGTAAAATATACCTCATTAGTCATTATTAAAGATCAGATGAAGGTATGTGCACTGAATCACGAAATGTATTCTTAAAAATAAAGAAAGTAAGTAACCCCTCTGTTGTACAGTTATAGGTGTCGAGTGTACCTCGTCATTAAATAAATGATAAATCATTGTATTTGAAGAAGGATTCCAAGCCAAGTTTTTCTGTCAACCTATATCATTATAAACCAAAAAGAATATATTTTAATGATGTATGTATAATGGGTATTGCTTTTATAGAAATGTATTTTACTATCAGTGATAGTGTGGTGCAACAGTAGGTAGAATTAATGTTCACCAAAAGTATTACATTTATACAATAATTAACAACTAGCTAATCCCGAGTACTAAAAAATGACAATACTCTTAAACAAATTGTCATTGGTCAACTTCATTTGGGTGTAATTCTTTGTAATTGCAGCCACCCTAGTAGTAAGTACTTCAGATTGCGGATAGACAGCATAGTTTTAAGCTGACAATCCTCAGGTGGATTCCGGACACGGCCTAAGCGGCTATAAGTGCAACTAACCTTGGTAGGCAATGTGCGAAAATTTGATATTTGCTTGAATCTGATCTGCCCGATTAATCAATGGCAATCTATACACAAAAA